GCTGTAACTGAGAAAGAAAAAAAAAATCTTGGCATCCACTTTGAAAACCAGTGGCCTGTCCAAGTTCAGGGATGGCCAAGCCCGTTTCCAGGAAGGACAAATGCTCTCTTTGAGGAGACCAACCTCCCGGTCCACTCAGCTCAGACCTCAGCCCCCTGCGATCTCCTAGCACTTGGTGCCTGCACTTCTTGGCTCTTGAACCCTGCATTCTGATGAGAATAACTAGACATCCTTTTCTGAGACGCTGCCAACTCGATCCCGGTTCTGTTAAAGGTCACCCTCCCTTAAACTGGCCTGGACTTCTGGAATTCCTCAGCTGGCACAGCCAAGGACGCCTCCTTTCTTCTTCCCCCGAACATCGCACTTCGTTCTCACAGGAGGAGCAGAAAACACCACCCTGCTCAGGTGGGCTCATGGAAATAAAGCAGGCTTTCAAAATGGAACGTCCTCAGCAAAGGCAAAGGGAAGCTGATTTTTAACCCTTAACTACAAAACAAAACAAAACACAGCTTCAGGGAGAGACACAGGATGAGTACAATATTTGGTGGAGCAGGGAAAAGGCTCAAGATTCAAAAGTGCTTCCCAGTGGCCAATGGAAAGCACATAAATGTGGATGAATTCCCTGCAGACGCCTCAAACATACCGAATCCCTCATTCAGCGCCAACAGTCTCCTGTTGATCAAGGTACCTTGCAGGGATGAATTCTGATGCTCTCTTTAGGGTACCTTCAAAGAGCCTCAGTTAGCAGTGCATTTTCCTGTGTGACATTGAACAAAAAAGAACAGAAAAGGCAGGAAAAGCATGCGGAGGTGAAGCAGATGTAACAGCCTGGGAGTGACTGTTTGGCACCTCAAATAAGCAGGTCAGGCTTGCGGAGGCTGCTGCTATCACTGTGCCTAGAGAAGCGCATGGGTCTTGCTAACCCTGGAGGGAAAAGGCAAGTGGGCTCGTCCCCTTTTCCAACAGTGAAAGTCACAGGGAAGACTGGGCTGCACTGCCCCAGAGGAAGAGACCTTGGAGCAGCTGGGGGGCAGGGGGGGAGGGGGGCTTCTGCTCTGTGAAGACTGCCTTTGGAAGAAGCCAGTGCGGGGGACACAATCCCCGACTGGAGATCCACCTTCCAGATTTGAATCTCAAATTCATCCATGACCAAGCCAGACAAAACCACTTCTCTTTCTCCTTTCTCTGAAAAATATAGGGGCAAAAACCAACTAGCTTCATGGAGACAAAATAAGCACAGGGCAGGTCAAGCCAACCAACAACATTATGCCCAACAAAAGGCAAATTGGGACCATTTGATTCCAAGGCTATTTCACATCGACAAAGGGAAGCTTGTCTTCATCCCTAAGAACCCTAAGGAAAATGTTTCATGGCTTCTAGATCCACCCTGCACCCTTCTGTGTTCTCCCCAGTGTTTAAGGCCCTTGGTTTCACTATTTCAGACACCAAATTCTCACAACGGGATCCTCCCGTGTTACCTGCCCTAGTCATATGTTTTCAAAGTGAAAGGGGGAATCAATCTCTCTCCGGTAAAATGTCCTGCTTCCAGTTATGCTGTTATTGTGGAGAAAGGAAGACGGGGAAATGACCTTCCACACTCTTTGTACATGCTTCTAAAAGATAATGCTTTCTAAGCATACATTATAAGCCCCGTTTTAGGACCAAAACTCACTTATTTCTTTAGCGTTTCAACCCTTACTTAACACTAAGTAAAATGATGACACCTGTTTTGGATCAAAAGCTGTCTTACTACCTGAGTGTATGACTCATCTGGAACAGAGGCACCTTCAGTTCAAAAATGAATCCTCAGCTACGGACAGTTTATCTACTGACCAAAGCAACACAACACACAAAGAACTAGAAGATGCTGCCTCAGGTGAGAAAACTCTGATGGAGAAGGAAGACAGAAAGCAGTCTCCAGCGGCCATCCCCAGAGGTGTGCCGCCAAACGCACCCATGGTAACAAGTTTTTCTCCTAAATGAGAATGAGACTATCACACAGAACCAAGAAGAAAAGTTTAGAGGACATGGAGAAAACATTCTGAAACGGTCAGATGTGATACAAATTAATTTCAAGCCGAGCACCAAAATAGGAAACATTGGGTAACTATGTGCAATTAAAAAGCACTGTACCGAGCTAATGCGTCTCTTTAACTTACAGCAAACAATAAGCTATAATGGACTGATCGGCATGCCTACTCAAAGTCAAATACAGATCACATACTGAAACCGTAACAAGCAGATAGCATGTTACAAATAGATTCGTACTCGAAATGGTTTCTGTGAATTAAAATCTGTAAATGCAGAACTTGTTAAGAGAGATCCGATGTTTAATTCTTCAAAGCAAAGGACAGTGCATAAAGTATAGCCACTGCTCTAATCCGCCTCATTTGTAAATCCTGAATTCAAATACAGGTAGAGTGAGACAACGCACAGAACACATCCAAATGGCTCAAACATACTTGAAAACATGCTCCACCTCACCCAGGAGATGGAATTGGGAGGCAGTGGAGGGGGATTCACCTACCAGAGCAAAAACATAAAAGATTGATATTAGCCAATACTGGTAAGAGTGAAGAGAAAAGGATACTTTCCCTAGATTAATACTGAAAAGGTAAATTGGAAACTATTTGGAGAGCAACTTAGCTGTACTCATTAAAATTTTAAATGTACACACACATACACTCTTCTACATGTCTACTGTAGAAGTCCCCACGCACGTGCCCAAGAATACTACCAAGAGCAGTATTTATACTAGTAAGAACTTAGAAACAACATTTCCATCAAAAGAGAAATGGGTGAATGCATCTGGTACATCCACATGCAACTACTACATAGAGTGAGGAAGAACTGATGTTCTGACATGGAAGGGTCTCCACCCTACACTGCTGAGGGAAAAAGCTGCAGAATGATTAAAAGGTCGATCTCTTGAAAACACTAAGTACGTGTGACTGAGTGAATGAATGCATGTCTTGAACAGAAGTTATCACTGAGGGTGGCAAGGGAGAAAACACAATTTTATTTTTACAGCATTCATAATATTGTGACTCACTTTTATAACTTCGGTTAAAGGGAGTTCTGCTGAGACTATTCTCTGCTCATTCACCAAAAGTTCAACAGATCCTGTGAGGGAAGACAATCCAGGTCCCCCCGAGGCCTAATGACGCAGCCAAACTTGGATTTTACCAACAAAATCTGCTCAGAAGACCGGGTCTGAAAGGGACCAACGTGATCCCGAGTTCTTTATATGCGGAAAACCATAGATTTTAAAATAACATACCCACTTTCTACGAGCTATTATTTAGAAAAATTTAAAAAAAAAATTTTTAATCCTCACCTGAGGATATTTTTCCATTTATCTTCAGATGGGGGGGGGGGGTGGATACAATGATTGGCTGCCTCCTGCATGACTCTGACCAGGGCCAGGGCCGGAACTGCAACCAAGGTACGCCCTTGGCCAGAATCAGAATCAAACACGAGGCTCTTTGGTCCACGGGCCGATGCTCCAACCACTGAACCAAACCACCCAGGGCGAAATTTAGTAAAATTTCTTATAAGTTTCCATAGGTCCCCACCCAAACACAGTACCAAAAATAACAGATGTGAACCACCTTAGGCCACAATCACGCGTTTACAGCTTTAAATTTCTGAAATCATGTTCAAGTGTAGGCCCAAACATTGCCTAGGATGTTCAGGTCCACAACTTGGGGAAATGGAAAGAGTTACACCTTCATATTTTATAGAGATACTGGTGGGCCACACCTTTCTCTATTTTCTTTGTTAAAAGAATACCCCGACTTCCCAATGCAACTCTCAAAACCATTTATTCAATAGGGGTTTTAAGTACATTGTGAGAAAAGGTCAAGTATTAATTATACCATAAAATACCTACATCTAAAATGTTTGCAAAAGGCACAGGGTGGGGCAAAAATAAGTTTACAGTTGTTCGTATGGAAAATACAATTAATAGTATAAGAACAAACTGTTTCACATACTTAAACCTACATTTGCCCCACCCTGTATATAAAAAACAAGTTCACAAATTTGCACAAGGTTTTAAAGGTAATCCATTTATTAGCACAACTGTAAATTACAAAAAGTACACACAGTGTCTCTCTCTTCCTATGCACTTAATATTAAACTCTGTTAGGATAATATTTTCTAGGCGAGGATGTACTTTTCACATGCCCTAATAATAAACGTGTGCCCAGATGGGAAATGTAACCAGAACTAAACAAACATCATACAGAAGGGAGCAGGAGGGCCAGAGGGTAGGCTAATAAACCTGGGATGCCTTCACAAACTATACAATTCTTTTTTAAAGAGTTTAAACAAATAGAATGGAGAGTATCAAAAGTTATATATTTGACATGTGAAATGCAACTAGAAATCAGAGGAAGAGACTAACTGATTTCTTTCTGGGTGAAATGGATAGTATCATATGTTGTCACAGATTTTAGCTGAAGGAAAATGTGCCGCGTACTAAAGCAAATAGTCATGATCAAATCATCGACACAACTTTAAAACGTGTCAACTTTGTTCTGGATGATAATCACTAATCAAACAACAAACAACCTCCTAGTATAATATGTGGCCTAAAATTAGGTAGGAGTCCAACTCAACGCATGGGTAAGAGATGAACAAAAAGGACGAACAAGAAATGCCCCAGGATGACAAAGTGATCCCATTTTTTCCTGAACACCCACACAAAGACAGCAGTTTCTGACAAGAATGTTCTTGGCAAAAGATGAAATTACAGAAATGTTTTTCGTGTTGTTGTTTTTCAATGAGGAAAAGGCAGCTCTCTATGTATATTACCAGGCAATACTGCAAGACTTTTTTTTTTTAAGGTCCAAAATTACAGCCCCCCCCTATTTTGAAAACATCTAAATCACTTTTTTTGGATGATGAGGAAAAGGAGACTGAAAATACAGTTCCTCATTTGGAATGCTTGTTTATTTCATGCTGTACTTGAAAATAAAATCAAACACGCAGCTTACCTTGGCACTGGAAACCTTGTTTCCCAAACCCCCTGAAAAACAGAAACAAGAACAAATTATCTTAACATGTTGTGTTGGGAGCCATATTTCAAGCTACTTATGTGACAAAGTATTCTACAGAGTTAAAGGTATATACTTTAAAACCCAATGATTTAATAGGAAAAAAATGCCTCAACAGCCCGGAGTACTGTGTAATTCAACTTGGAAAAAATCTCTCTGGCTCCCTGAACTATTTCAATGGACCAAGATTCCTTCCAAACTTTTACACAGTTAGCAATACTTAAAATTTTCAAGACAAGGATATAATTGTATATTCAAAGTTGTTGGCCACAACATTCAAATAACATAAAGGTCCTTGTGGTTAAAAAAAGAAAAAGTCAAAGTGGCTTAATTTTTTAAGGTCCCACTTAAAGACCGACTTAATTTTTTTTTTTCTCCCTAAAGACAGCTAAACAGTGGTTTGCTCACTTGTTATGAACTTGTTTAAAATATTGTTTGTCTAGAAATTACCCCACAGCATCACTCTTAATATTAAATTTTAGCTTAAAGGAGCCAGATTTTACAACGTATTCCTATTGTTTGCATTTGAGATTGTGATCTAATTTATACTGAGAACCAGGAGTCTTTGAAACACGTACAGAGGCTATTCTGTTCTTGTAAATTACTTTAGAGAATTTACTCTCCAAGTGGAGAACCTTGACATGGGCACTAAATTGCAAACACAGTTCCAACTAGGATGAACTGAATTTTTTCAGGTTATTAGTCATAATCCCTTGCTTTACGTAACTTTTTAAATTTACAAAGCACTTCATATTTTTTTTTATAATTAACTTAGTCGTCCCCCCCAAAAACATACTTAAAATCCAAACACTTAGTTTTAAGTTATCAGTGCTTTAATACTTAAATAAAACTCATAAATCAAAGACCCAGAGAAACAATAATAAAAACACTAATAAATTAAAACCACTTGCTAGACAAGCCTGGTGAATCTTCTCCTGCAACTTCCAAGTGGCTACTTTACAGTAAAGAAATGTTGCAGGGGTTACTCCGGGAGGAAAAGAGAGGCTGACCTTTATTTTCCATTTCACCTTACACCTGGTGACCTGACGCTCACATCAGTTCACCAGGGGCCAATCCAGGGTAACTTAACTGATAATGGCAAGACATTTGCTAGCCTGGGTATGTATGTTGCAGACCCTTTTCTAACTTAACCTACTTCTTGCAAAAGTCATCAGCAATCTGTTCTCTTTTAATGGGATTTCACAGTTGACAGGAAAGGCTGAGGACCTCCCCTTAACTAATGCATTATCTTTTCCCTGATACTTCAAGGACTTATTTTAAATGGCCTTATCTACAATTACCTACTCCTTTGAGCACAATTGCTTCAAAGGCTCACTATACACAATAGAAGTCATTCACAGAGGTGACTGTGCTTTTCTTAGATATGTACTTTAAGCAAATTTCTAAAAAGGAAAAATGAAGCACCTTAGCACCACGATTGTGGGACTCTCCCTTAGAGATGACATACCCCAGGTGGGATAGATGCAAATAAAGCCATTCATTTAAAAACCAAGCACCTTATTAGCACCACATTTGTGGGACTCGCCCTTAGAGATGATTTCCCCCAGATGTGATGGATTCACAAGGAGCCACCCATACTTCTCCCTTGGGCCCCAATATACATCTGGGTGGCAGGGTGCACTCTGTGGCACTGTCACCTTGGAGTAGCTCTCCATCCATCACTGTGAGAGATGAGAGCTAAGGAACCCTAGCCACAGCTCCGACTTGGGGGACCTTGGGAAAACTACCCGTGAACAAGCCATAGAAAAGGCAGGGTGTCTGGCAACCTAGGAAAAAAAAACAAACCTACGGCTCTTCCAACTGCAGCACCTGGAGTTCCTTTCATTCTAGCTTTCTAAACTTTTGGGTTTATTTTTTTTGAGGGGGGGGGACCAATCTTGAGAATCAGCTAGTAAAGCTATTAATTATCTCACCCAAAAAAAAGCATATACAATTCCACCTTGTTTTACAGGGTTCAGTTGCTCCTGAAGCCCATCCATTTATCAAGTCCTCCCAAATCCCCGAGCCCCCAGAGTTAAGAAGAGCTGAGTTCATTAGAAGTTACCTGAACTCTGCTACCTTGAGCCCTTACAGTATTTTTCTTAAAGAAGGTGTCTGTCCTCGTAAACAGGGTTACGGGTCTAATCTCTTGTTGACAGGGTCTATTTTAAATGACTCTTTCTGTCCTTCTGCCATTTGCCTTCTGCTTTACTTCCCCCTCCCCCACTGCAAGCTTTCAACAGTTTGTTGCCTCGCCTCTCTTTGGGCTCACCCAGTAAAGTCAAAGTCTTTCGGTGCCCAGTAGATACAAGCTACAGTAGGCAGCGACCCAAGGTTCCAGTAGAGTCCATGCCCGCTGCGAAACATAAAATACACACCCCCCGAGTGCGCCCAGCCTGGCTCGCCAACAACTTGGACCGCGAGGCGCACTCGCCCGGCTGCCGCGGTTACTCCCGGGCGTGTTCTCCGGGAAACTCTGCCCGCTGGATTCTCCTTTCCCTCTCCCCTCCGCTCACACCCGGCACCCGGCCGCTCCGCGGTCGGCACCGAGAGCGGGAGCGCCGGGGAAACGGGGCCACGAGACCCGGGGAAGGGGTCAATGTCACTACCGCGCGCGGCCAGCCTCCCCCTGCGGCGGGGGTGTGTGGCCCGGCGCCGACTTCCCCGGGAGTCCTGCCCGCGTGTGTGGCAGTGGCCCGGGCTGCCGGGCGCGCGCGTGTCACTCGGGGCTTGAGTTCGGACTCCGGCCGGCTCCCCGAGTTCCCGATGAGGCAGCCCTGGAGGGGACCCGGGGCAGGGGAACAGCGAGGGTCCCCGGGCCGAAAGGACTCTGCCTGGAGAAGGTCGGCGCCCGCCGCGAGGGGTCCGGAGCGGCGGTGCGTGCGCCCCGCCCCGCGCGCACCTACCAGATGAAGTCGGTGCAGTGGCTGCAGAAGGTGGGCTGCTTGAAGAAGCGGGCGATGAATTTGTGGTCCTTCACCTCGTGCACGTTCTTCTGTCTCAGCGCCCCTTTGCGGGCAAAGCGGTTGGCCACGTCCTGAGGCGCCGTGGAGTCGTTGGCCGGGAACACGTCAGCCATGGTCCCCCCAACCACCTCTTGCCTCCACCGGGGAGCAGCAGCCGGGGAGGGCCGGGTGGGCGGGGGCGGGCAGGGGAGAAGCAGCGGCGCCGCGGGCGACCCCAGGCGGGGGGCGCGGGCCGGCGGCGGAGGTCGCTGCGCGGCGGGGCGGCGGCGGCGGCCGGGGAGAGTCGGGCCGGAGCGGCGCGGAGAGGGAGCCGGAGCCGCTCACTCGCTCGCTGGCCCCACGCTCACTGACAGCCCGACGCCCGGCGCTCGCGCTTCCTACTCTCGGCGGCAGAGGCGGCCCGGAGCGGCGCCGCCCACCGCGCATGCCCCGAGTGCCAGGCCCGCGAGTGCGGGGGCGCGGGCGCGCGCGCGGGGCGGGGGCGCGCGGGCTGAGCGGCGCGGCGAGGGTGCGCCTGCCCGGGCCGTCGGAGGCTCCGCGTTTTCGGAACAGCCCAGAAACCGGAGGCGGCGGCCGCGGCCGGGGACAGCCGGCTCGAATGTGGGCGTGGAGGCGGGTGCTGGGCGGGGCGCACCGTTCTCCGCCGCCGCCTCTCCTCCCTCCTCTGCTTCCGCTCCTTCGCCGTGCCCGCTCTTCTCGGTCTTCCTCCTCCCACTCCGCACGCTCCCTCCAGCTCCCCTTTCTGCTCCTCGCCTCCTCTCGGCTGCCCGGGTCGGAGGGCTGCCTGCCCGTGCGTGGCCGAGGGGAGCCCGGGGTCCCAGGACGGGCCTCCACGCTGCCGCCGCGCCCGCGCCCGCGCCCGCGCCGGCTGCCACCAGCTCCCGCTTCGCACGCACCGCAGCTGCCCCGTCCCCGGCCGCCGGCTTTACCGGCTGGTATCAGTTTGAGGTTTCACCTGGCTAAACACTCCGGTTGTGTACGCCCTAAAATGCCGCCCCCCCCCCCCATCTTCACGCTGTGTGTATATGGATGGCAGGAGAAAGGGAGCAATTTTAAATCTCACTCATATGTGGGATATAAAACTGAAACTCATAGACAGCGGTGTGGGGGTAACCCGAGGGAAGCGGGTGGGACTGATGACGAAGACGATTTGCCTTTCTGTAGTGGGCACACGACGCAATTTACAGATCATGGATCATAGAACTGTACACTTGTAACCCATATAATCTTATTCACCAATGTGATGCCAATAAGTTTAATTGAAAAATAAATAAATAATTGAATATTGACCCTTACACTTGCCTCCAGTCCTCTCTTTCACCTGTGCCTTGTAGAGACCTCTGACTTGCAGGTAGGCTAGTTAAAGGACTTGTTCTTAGTTAGCTACCCCCTTGTTGCCTACCTCAGTCACAACGTTGATCATCAGGCTTTCTTGATTTTACAAGCCTAGAACTTTAATTGAGAAATCATTTGCACCCTAAGCTAATTACTTCAGTACTGGCAGGTGCAGAGTGCAGCCAGTACATTTGTAGATTACCAAGTAAAATTGCTTGTGAGAGGCTGGCTGGCATGCATATGCAAAGGACGCACTGGGGATGTACCAAGGAGCCACTTGCTGAATATTTATTAGCTCTGGCTGGAGTATGCTCAAATACGTAAGGGAAACAACCATCTCCCAGCTTTTTATTAGTGTTTTATTTTATGGTCAGATTCACTAGGTTCACAAATCAACTTCATAAACTGAAGACATCAGGGAGGAGATCATGCCATCTCACACCTGTCAGAATGGCTATCAAAAAAAAAAAAAAAAATCACAAGTGTTGGCGAGGATGTGGAGGAAAGGGCACCCTTGTACATTGTTTGTGGGATTGAAAGTTGGTGCAGCCACTTCACTATGGAAATCAGTATGCAGGTTCCTCAAAAAATTAAAAATAGAGTCCTGGCAGGTGTGAGTGTTGTCCCATGCACTCAGAGGTCGCTGGATAGGTTCCTGGTCCGGCGCATGTCCCTGTTGCAGTTCCATCCCCAGTAATGGGCATACAGAAGGCAGCTAATTGATGTTTCTTTCTGTCCCTCTCCCTCTCTCTCTCTAAAATCAATTAAAAAAAAAAACATTTAAAAAAATAAAAAATAGAGCTGCCATAGACCCAGCAATCCCACTTGTGGGTGTTTATCCGTAGAAAACAAAAATACTAATTCAAAAAGACATGCACCCCTATGTTCATTGCAGCATTATTTACAATAGCCAGGATATGGAAGCAATCTGTGTCCATCAATTGATGAATGGATAAAGATGTGACTTTGGGTGGTGAGCACATAATGCAATACACAGATCATGTATCCTAGAATTGTACACATGAAACCTACATAATCTTATAGGCAGATGTGTATACACAGTGGAATATTACTCAGCAATAAAAAAAAAGAATGAAATCTTGTCATTTGTGACAACATGGATGGACCTAGAGGGTATTATGCTAAATGAAATAAGTCAGAGAAAGATAAATACCGTATGATTTCACTTATATGTGGAATCTTAAAAAAAAAAAAAAAAAAAATGGGTAAATAAACCAGAAACAGACCCTTAGATATAGAGAACAAGCTGAAGGTTGCCAAAGGGGAGGATGGGTGAAAAACAAAATAAAATGCCTTTGACATCTATAACCTCCAAAAGAAAGAGAGAAATAGAACATGTTATTTAACTCTTCAAGAAATTTAAAAAAGAAAAAAGAAAACTTTTCTAAGATATACACTATTTTAGAGCATTTCATGTAGACCAAGTCAGGCTACCTTTTTTTTTTTGTAATTTTTAAATTTTTTTGTCCTCACCCGAAGACATTTTTCTATTTTTTGTTCAGATAGAGTGGGAAGGAGAGAGAGGAAGAGAGAGAGAGAAACATCGACACAAAAGGAACACATTGAGTGGCTGCCTCCCGCACGACCCAACCAGGACTGGGGACAAATTGCAACCGAGATAAGTGCCCTTAGGGGAAACCGAACCTGGGTCTCTCTGAACTGCAGGCCAACGCTCTAACCACTGAGCAAAACCAGCCAGGGCCAAGCTACCATTTTTTAAGGTTGCCTAATTGAATGCTCGATGATAGGAATGGCTTTTATAGTCTAACATATGTAAGCTATTGACTGGCCATTCGTGGGTCACGCACACACTTTGCTGACCCATGTTCAACCTACTGAGCCAATGTAGTTGGTGCTTAAAGAAACTGCACCTGCTTGATATTCTATCTGGTCACAAATTTCACCATACATAGCAGCCCTCTCCAGCACAAAGAGGTAAAAAAATAAAAAAGAAAAGGAATGGAAAGCAGAGGATATCAGGAAAGTAGATCAAATTCTCCACCAAACACACCTTATGAATTTCAAGCTGTGGTTGTTAATTGCTTATTAATCGTAAATCAAAGGGAGCACGGTAGGACAAAACCCAATTCTGTCCTCCCAGACATCTTTATCGAAGACAGAGGTTCTCACACATTTTGTAAAGACAAGCTTCTTATTTCCCTTGAAGCCTTGATGTAATGGTGGAGAAAGAATATGGGGGAGTTGGAGGGCCGGGGTTTCTGGTGGTGGAATCCCTGAGCAAAGTAATAGGGAAGCTGAAGTTGAGAACCGATGGACCTTGGCAGCAGCCTGTACCCGAGTGGCTGATTGCTGCAGTGGTAGACCAGATGGAGACAATATATGGCTTTTCTTTTGTGTTGTGGCTTTGCTTTCTTGCCTCATTTATTACTGTTGTTCCATGTGGACAGAACACACTGGAAGTTTGTTGATTGATAGCTGGGCTGAGCTTAAATGCTCAATTGCTTATAGCTTGGCTCAGTTGTAGGGGTGGGGTGGGGCGTACCTGGAGCGGGGAAGTATCAAGCAGTGTGACACCGCCCCTAGCAAGGACTGCTGGGAATGCGAGCCCCAGGTGGCCCCTGCCATCCACCTGAGAAATCCCCTTGGTAGCGCTAAAATGGAGGGGGGTGCAGAAAGACCCAAAGGGGAGGGAGTGAGAGTCCGTTTGGGCAGCAGCGATTATTTTACATCTGCTGTTTCGTGAGGACTGTGCAGGAAAGAACAGGAAATGGCAAACAGAACTCAGACTTTGCACGATCCCTCCTCTGTGACTCCTGCTTTAGATGAGCGAGTTTGAGACTCTGGAGAGGTGTTGCCTAGAGCAGGGGGACCCAGAAGCTGGAGCCTGGGGCCAAAATCAGGCCACTAAATCAATGATTCCAAACCAGAGTGGTTTACATAAAATCGTTGATCCTGCCCTGGCCAGTTTGGCTCAGCGGTTAGAGCGTCAGCCTGCGGTCCGGAGAGACCCGGGTTGGTTCCCGCTAAGGGCACGTACTTCGGTTGCAGTTTGTCCCCGGCCCTGGTTGGTCGTGCGGGTGGCAGCCGCTCGGTGTGTCCCTTCACGTCGATGTTTCTCACTCTCTCTCCCTTCCTCTCTCTCCCACTCTATCTGTACAAAAAATGGAAAAAATATCCTCGGATGAGGATTAAAAAAAAAAAATCGTTGATCCCCCTCCTCCCCATTAGCCATAGTCCACAGGTGGACTGCCCAAGGAAATTTCTTGGAGTCCAGGATGTCAGCTTCCTCCAGAAAGTGTCTTTTCTCCACTTGGTTGCAGTTTTTCTGCAATAACCAGAAGACCTGGGTTCAAGTACTAGCTCCAGCATGTACTGGTTGATGGAACTCGGATAAATGAACTTCTCCAAGTCTATCTTTCTCCATCTAAAAATGGAGAGAATCATAACTATCCTGGGAATTTCTTAAGAATTTAACCAGATGATCCCAAAGTCTCATACAAATGCAAGGTAGGTTGGTCCTCCCCCACTGCACCGAGTCTGTGTTTGAGAGAAACTTAGTTGAGAGCTCCCCTCTTCTCAGCCCATTCTTCCTCCCAAAGTGGCAGATGGATGTCCCTGCATTCCCAGTGACAATGAATTCGGAAGCAAGACATGACACAAGGAGGAAGTATACAAAATTTATCTTGGAGTCCACATTTCAAACTTACAACATCAACCACCACCCTCACTTTTCAATTGCTTTTTAGCAAAGATCCCAAGTTGGGGTGCAAGTGAACATCAGGATAGCTGAGCAACGGGAGAATGCTGGCAATCACCAGATTCTTGCCCATTGCTTCAACAATGAATGCTAGGTCCTGGAATATTAATATATTATGTGTTTTTATATATATTGATACAGTGCCAAGCCAAACAGACATAATCCCTGCCTTTGTGTAATTGACATTCTCTTTGGTGGTTTGAGTGGGAGAGGGAAGTTTGTGGACACTCCCAACTAGCAAGATTTAACTCATC